CAGCTCTACCAAGCGACCCAACCTTTCCGGCCAAAAGACTATCGTCGAAGGAGAAGAGGCGGTTATTGGAGAAGAGTCAACGGGGCTCAGGCTTCTTGGCCTCCTTCTGCAATGGGCAGAGTGCGTAGCTATGGATAATCTCAACGACGCTACCGATCTCTTGCCGGAGATCTCCGAGTTATCCTCTCCCTTCGGTTCTTCGCCTGAACGTGTTGGCGCGTACTTCGCCCACGCCTTACAGGCGCGCGTGATAAGCTCCTGCCTCGGTACCTATTCTCCTCTAACCACCAAAACAGTAACCTTAACTCAGTCGCACAGGATCTTCAACGCTTTGCAATCATACAATTCAATCAGCCCCCTGGTCAAATTCTCTCACTTTACCGCCAATCAAGCTATCTTCCAAGCGTTGGACGGCGAGGATCGCGTCCACGTCATCGATCTCGACATAATGCAGGGTCTTCAATGGCCTGGATTGTTCCACATACTGGCCTCTCGGTCCAGAAAGGTCCGATCGATGAGGATAACCGGGTTCGGATCCTCCTCCGAGTTGCTAGAGTCAACGGGGCGTCGACTCGCGGACTTCGCGAGCTCACTGGGACTTCCTTTCGAGTTCCAGCCGCTGGAGGGAAAAATCGGGAACATAGCGGATCTGAGTCAACTCGGAGTGAGACCGAACGAGGCAGTAGTAGTTCACTGGATGCATCATTGCTTGTACGACGTAACCGGGAGCGATCTAGGGACGTTGAGACTTTTGGCTTTGCTGAGACCGAAGTTAATCACGATCGTCGAACAAGATCTGAGCCACGGCGGGAGCTTCCTTGGGAGATTCGTGGAAGCTTTGCATTATTACAGCGCTCTGTTCGACGCGCTGGGGGATGGATTAGGTGTGGACAGCGTAGAGAGGCATACAGTGGAGCAGCAGCTTTTTGGGTGTGAGATTAGGAACATCGTGGCAGTGGGTGGGCCCAAGAGAACCGGAGAGGTGAAAGTGGAGAGATGGGGAGATGAGTTGATAAGGGTCGGGTTTCGACCCGTTTCACTTGGTGGGAATCCGGCCGCCCAAGCCAGCTTATTGCTGGGGATGTTTCCGTGGAAAGGGTACACGTTGGTGGAGGAAAACGGGTGCTTGAAGTTGGGATGGAAGGATTTGTCGCTGTTGACGGCCTCTGCCTGGCAGCCGTCCGATTAAATTACTACATCAGCGATCACGGAGATTATGATATGGGAGCAGGTATAAGATCATTGACATTTTCATGGGGGGGGGGGGGGGGGACGTGGACGAGCTCTGTGTTTTTGATTGAATTAAAAGGTTTTCTAATTCCTTTTTTGTTGTAATTCTTTGAAGAAGAAGAAGAAGAAGAAGAAGAAAGAAAGAAAGAAAGAAAAGGTGCTGTTTTTATTTCTGTTGCATCAAATTTTTTGGAAGAAAGGAAAAGAAAAAGAAAGAAAAAAGAAAGAAAAGAAAGGAATTATTATTGATAGGAATTGCTAAAAGCTTGGAGGTAGTTCATGTCTTCCATGAATTGTGTAAATGCTGGAAGGATCAAGTCCAAAGTCAACTGGGAATTTTTCATTTTTTGTTATTTTGAGTTTTGTTGAAATTATTATTTTATTTTCAGTTTAGCTTAGGGACACACTCTTTTACATGATAACTGTAAAAAATATGAAATACATTTGTAGATTTTTCAGGGTTTTTCTTGGATCCTAAAGATACCCTTAACAATTAAAAATTGCAATATGAATTATAGAAATGATTCAGATGTAATTGGTGAGTAAAAATTGAAGATGAGAAAATGGGTCAAGTTAGAACACTAGATTACAGAGCAACATTATTAAAGAGCTTGATTGTGAAAGTTGCAGGGAAGGAGAATAAAGGTGGAGAAGAGAGAAGGGGGGGGGGGGAAGAGGACAAAATGAAACAGCTAATGAGATTGAAAAGGCAAAGAAAAAAGCCCAATTTTACATGTGATGTACGGTGGATTTTCAAAGGCATTAATTGAGATAACAAAAAATCCTCGCATATTGCCACCCTCTCATTCAATGAAGTCCAATGAGGACACACAGTGCCACGTCCATTGACAAACATTGTCTTTCCAAATTCCCTCTCTCTCTCTCTCTCTCTCTCTCTCTCTCTCTCTCTCTCTGTATATATATATATATATGCTCACTATTGATAATCATTCTAAAGGGTTCTTATCACTTACGTGTACTTGCTCTGTGCATGTATATATAATAATAATAATAAAAATTAGAGCTAGTTTGGTTCCATGATTAAAATCATCACTAGAAACTGGTTCTTATAGCTATTTTTTGTTTAAATATTCAAATCATAAAATATTTTAAAAACGAATTAATAGTGATAGAAAAATGATTGTAGAGGTGAAGTTCTTGAAATTCTACTCGAGAAATCGTTAATTAAATAAATGAAAATATTAGGGTAATATTTCAGTCTCCAATATTAATCCTTAAATAAATTCAAGGGACTTTTTTTCAAAGAAGATAGGTGGAAGTCACTCTCTAAGTTTCATTTAAGAAAAATGACTCATTTTCTTAACAGTATGCATGGTGAAAATTTTATAATTTTATTTCCTCTCAATCTGACTTTCATGCAGGAGAACTTGTTTGGAAAATTTTTATTTCTTGTTCTAAGAATATCAGTAGTCAGATAAGATAGATGTTTGTCGGAAATTTTTCTTTGTAAAAATAAAATACACATATATGTATTCATATGTGGTAGGTCAAACTTGGGCACTGTTTAACTCAGAAGGTCATTTCTTCATTGATTTGGATGTTGCATTTGTTTATTATCATCTTGGCGAAGTGGATAATTGTTAAATTAATGATGATCATGGAACTTCTGAAAAAAATAATATCCATTTATACGTGGTAAGTGTTGATTGAATTGGGGTTTTCTATGCTATTTTTATAAGTATCCATATATATATATATATACATACATTTTTTAAAAGATACACTTTATAACTCTTATGAAAAGTTATCAGAACCCTAGGATACCAGAAAATTCAAAAATACAGCCAGAAAAACCTTCACGAATTAGCACATCCATTAAATTTTTTTGTTCCAACTTGTCTTAAATTTATATAATTGTATACCCAAAATAGACTGGCCAACCGCCCAATTCCTGATTTTAGTTTTCGAATATATATATATATATAAATGTATATACACATATATCTTCTGGGTTGATTTGTTAATCTAATTTATTTACTTTTATAATTCTTTTTCGTTTTATGTATTAAATTAGGCTAAAGAGCACGCACACTTAAGAAGAATATTATTGATACAAGTTAGTGGATAAATTCGAAAGAGAGAGAAACAAACATTTTTTTTTTTTTTTTTAAATCCTGAAATTGTTTGTCTCATTTAAATTTAATGAAAATTCCATATCTAAAATTCATTCATTCTACTTATCATAGTCTTGAAAAAAGGCTTCTCTCGCTAATCATCAGTAACATATAAAACTTAACAATGGAATTCGGTTATTACAAGTTTTTAAACGGAACTCTTTATATTACTCTATTTAACAAAAAGTCTCTTCTATTGCTTCAAAATTAAAGAAAAAGGAACCCAATACCCAAAACAATCACATACTCCAGGAATTAATGTTAATGAATTTGGACCACACAATTGTTTCTTGCGAGAACACATAAGTTTTATCTTAGAAAATTAAAATTAATAAAATATTTTAAGGTGTGATACTTGTAAATGAATTTATTTAAAATTTTAGCCACTAAAACATAAAGGTAAGATAGTCATTAAGCCAATTGTTACTCTCATAATTAATGTAAGCGACAAAGATTGCAAATAAAATTTTTTGCTAATAATATTAAAAGACACTTATATTTCAAATTGCTCATGCTGCTGGAACACAAACAATTTTTTTGTCAACTGGGAAATTACTAAAAAGTCAAGACTCCTAATCTACATAGAGAACGCAAGGATAAAAGTAGAACTTAGAAAACAAACCAACTAAAAATATATAAGATAATAATATAAAAAGTTATTAATTTATGTAAAATAACAAAATCAAACTATCAACTACTAAATCGTTACCAGAAATTTTTAAGCACATTACAAGAATATCAAACTATACAAAATAAAACTGTGTTTTACCGTAATCTTTTATCTCTGGGTTAGAGTACCGCAAGCCATTTTTTCCCCTTCCCGACCTGCAGAACTCAAAATGAAGTCGACAAAAATACCAATACCACGCAAACTTTACACTATTAGTTCCCATGTATAAAAATATCCAAACCACTGCCTATTTAGACATCATTACCTGAATCATCTGCAGGCTGCGGAGCAGCTTCAAAGAAGTTCAATGGAGACTTGAATGTAGTCAAGAAAAGAAATCCACAACTCTCATCATACAACCACCAATAAATTACTATAAAAAAATAAATACAAATTTTTGTGCGGTGCACATAAACTAAGCTGAATTTGCTTAGAAATACATACAGGCAACGGCTAAGAATTAAAAGAAATTCCCCCACCAAATTCTCAACACCTAAGCAAAATGCAAACTCAGTTCAAATAAATTCGATCTGACTCAACTTTGCTGTACACAAATAATATGAGAAACTAAATATCGAGCCAAAAATCAGAACCAGAAAGGTCAAAACAGAAGCGCCAAAACTAATATCTTTTCCCAAGAATTACACCGATGATGATAGACACCAGTGCTACTCCTAAGATGAACTTAAAGTTCATGGCATGAGAGGCTTCAGAGCTCTGAATAGTTGTTTCTGAAGAGGTGGAGGTTTGAGCAGGAGCTGCTTCCGATTTCTTCTTACCTTTCCGTTTTGCTGGAGCTGAAAATGATAATTCAATATCTCGAGATTTAATCTCTGTTCCATCCTTCAATTCAACTGGATTGCTCTCAGTGCTCTGCAAAACATGGTGTCGTTATATGAGATGGGAGTCATGCAAGGCTAAGAGCAATATGCTTCTGTAGTGCTCAGAAAGCTGGTAAAAGAACATAAAGTGGAACATGAAGAACTGTGACTATAAATTTTTATATTATTTTTGATAGGGTATGAATAGAGAAGTTAATATTTTGTTTTTTTCTATCAGTTTAAGTTTTTCTAAACAATCAGTTTGATTTAGTTTTTCAAATTTTGACTGTCCAATTCTACTAAAATTTAAAGTTTTATTAGTTAAGCTTTTTGGTATAATAAACTACAATCAATTATTTCATGGGAGCAACCCAAGTAAAAGCACCTAACCCAGGTCAAGTCACGATTATGTGAATAAATATACATATCAATCAAATGTAAGACCATATACACTGTTTGAAAATATAAAGAAAAAAAAATCATCTATTTACTTCTGCCTTTCACTATCGGTGAGCAACCAATAATGGCCAGGAGATTCACGAGAAGTAAAAAGTTTTAGAGTTGCCTTGGAAGCAAGAAAAAAAAATGCCTTTTTTAAATGCAGATGCCTCTACATATTTTAGCACCATAGCGTCCTTTATTTGCCATCTTGAACATCATTTTATTTTAATTTTTAATTAAAGCATCACAGAGAAGGGCGTAGTCGTGTAAACTGACCTTTACTTTAATATCAGCTTGCTGCAATTTCTGCTCGAGTTCCTTCATTTGTGTCTGTAGAAGTATGACTTCTTTCTTCTTGATTTCAAGTTCTTCTGAGCAACGTTTCTGAACTTCTTCTTGCTCAATATCTTTCTGAGAGAAAGCTTCTTTCTGTTTAGTTGAGAGTTCCCAGAAACAAAGTGCTCTTAGTAATAAGGCGTCAAAGATTTCTTGAAATTAAACTGAGTTCACTCACAAAAATTGAAAGATGCAGTTTGCCCTCAAAAAGGGCCTGGTTTGTGTAATTAAGTGAATGAATAAAAATTTCAAACTTAGATTTACTATCAATTAGCAGCATTTATAGATAATAATAAAAAGCCAAAGGAAAGGAAAGCAGGTTTACATAACACACACACACAGGCTAACCTGTTCAGCAATGGCTGTCTGAGCAAGTTGTAACTCTCTCTGAAGCTCCAGAACTTTTTCATTTAGTGCATTTCTATCATTAACTTTCAGTGCATGATCTTGTAATTTCAAAACTAACTCTGTCTCTCTTCCAGAAGCAGCTCTGACATTGCCAACCTACAGACACCAGAATTTCTGAGAAACAATATTCTTGAGGCTCAACTTTAATTGATGTAAAAAAAACTAGGTATTTTCTTTTTCTTGTTTTTTTTTTTAATTTCTTTTTGTGATAATACCTCTTCTTCTAACTGAGCTTCAAGTTTTGCCAACTGCTGTTCAAGTTCCCTGAGACGAGCATGCAACACTTGCTTCTCAGCAGCCTCAGCCTTGAGCTTTTCAATCTCAGATTCTAACACATCTGCAGAAGCTTTCTGTGCCTTCAAATCTTCTTCAAGCTTTGCATAATCTAGTAATTTCAAAGTTAACTCTGCCTCTCTTCCAGAAGCAGCCTTGACCTTTCCAACCTACAGGCACCAGGAATTGTTATAAACAGTATTCTGAGATTCAACTTTAGTTCATTCTAGAAAACTTGGTCTAAGTTTTTTTTTTCTCCCTTCTTTTGA